TACTTGGAAACGTTGAAATAGGAAGTCCTACTCTACTCGCCGTATTCTTCAGACGTTGCTCCCTCTGACTATCACTTTCGCTCAATGGCACACGGCCTGGTTGAGTAGCACTTCTGGTCTTATGAAGAAGTAAGAAATTGGATTGATTCGTGGTTTCAAAGGATGACCAGTTTTTTCAACGCGAGATTCGTACGTTGCCCGAAAGATGGGAGAAAGTAGTGGCCAGCGATGGACAATACTTTGAATCATAAATGTATAACCAGTTTTTTACAATAAAGCCTCGAATTTCGGAAAAAAAGCGGAAGCAAAGTTGTATACCTAATAGTTAGCGAGATGTCGTAAGTAAAGTATTGAAAAAATTACCGAGTTTTCCTTAAATATCTCAAAAAATATTAGGCAAATAAAAAAATATTTTAGACAAAAGTTGTTAATATTAATTGGTAGGAAAAGATGATGTAATAAAAATGGAGATTCCTATTGTTACGTCCTGCAGATTTAACTAACAAAATTGTCTTTTCCTCTCGCGGATTTATATTCTCCTAATATAACTATAATAGGAATATATACATATATAAATATAAATTAGGAAATAGACCCATCTGGCGAACAGCCGTCGCGCCAAATGAAAGGCGATTCGGGAAAATTCCATAACATGAAACAGTGCCCTGTTGTAAAAATCTACGTCTTCGTTTAAAGTTTATATCTGGATAGTGTTCGCCAAGTGTGTCCGTCGTCCTAGCTATAAAAATTTGAAACTCCGCGCTAACAAACCTTCAGTAAAACAAAGCAACTCAGAGCATTCCTGCTCTAAAACTTGAAACTTACATCTTCCCAATCCAAAACTATATGTGCCCTATCAGTCAACCAACAAAGCTTACTTCACTGATAGTCGTAAAATCTGATCTCAGCCTTTGATTTACGGCATTTTGATTTTTCCAGCCGGCCACTTGTATACATTTCTCTTTCTCAAAAATCCACCACCTCCACGCTTGTCGCGCCTAATTCATTCAGCCAATCATATATCCACCTAAAACTATGAGACACCCACGCTCCACCCTTTAGCCCTTCCATATTCATATCTCCAAAAACTAACTGTCTCCTCCCACGATGTCTAATAACTTCGCTAATGGCTGAGACCTTTTTCCCACTAAGACCAATTCACACCTTCCTCAAAGGCCATCTCTCTACCCACCCTGATAGCTTCTGCCTCCGATTATCACTATAAAAACCGCGGTAATCCGCCTCCGCGACACTTCCACTTCTACTTCTAATTCTACTCTGAAAAAGGCAGTCACATTCTCACTCGGATATTTTGTTTTCAATATTCAGATATTCAGATAATATTTCTAACTCATATATCCAAGTTTGTGCAAATATTCAAAGAAATCAGCAAAAAAAACTATTAGTGTTTGTGTCATAATTGGACAAACGGAAGGGAGTGGACGAGCACAACCTAACCTACCGAGCAGGAGCTATCAAACTACAATTTTATTTTTTGCTCACCTCCGGGATAACAGGAGTCAGCAGTAAGTTCTGTTTTTTTATATTATTGTGAAAGAAATAACTCGGGATAAACTAAACGAGAAAAGCTTTATTTACAGCCAAGAAAAACGGATCTTAATCAATCTTAAAATAATCGCACGAATTCGCTTTACGTCCGTACGCTGTGACAGGACTAGAGCGACTCTCAACTCTAGTTGTTAGTAAACAAACTCCTTGACAACGATAACAGCTGTCAAACATTCTCTATATGCCTTCTTCACAGTCTTCTCCCAAGAGCGTGGGAATAATACGTTCCCCAAAGGCGTGGACACAACAATATATACCCTTATTTATTGGTTCCACCCGTTTATTGAAATACATTTTTAATGGGCCATTATTGTCATTCTGTGGTATCCATCCAACAAGTCCTTCATTTCTTTGAGACGGTGTACGAGACTAGAGATCTATATGAATTCGAACACCAACTGCAATATCTCCGTTCCATCATAAATATTTCATTTGAAACAGATTTTCACCCAGACCCGACACTCCTACCCCCTTTTCTACTCCGACGTCTACCTATTAGTCCTCCCTCGTCTCCTACACACGCTTCTACTCCTTCTACCCCTTCAATATCGTATTCTCCCGTCTCTTTTTCCGAATTATCCACCTCCTTAAATTCTCCTGACCGCTCTCGTTCCCCCTCACCCGACTAACTTTCTATTCATATTCTTCCCCTTTTCCTTTCCTTCTTCTTCTTTCACTTCTCATATACACACACATACACACAACATCATTTAAGTAAATTGTAATAAACCGCGCCGCATAACTTTCTGTTGTCACTCTTATTTTAATAAATTTGGTATTAATTTATTTCCATCAGTTAATTTCAAAATCACCCCACTCTTCCAACAGTCAACTCATGGTCCTATCCCCGGTAAAGGGATTCACGTCCCTGACCGAAGAACGGACCGCTCGTCGTACATCGGTGCCCGAGTAAAGGGACCCGTCGGGTCCTTGACCCGTCCACTGACACGCGTGTACGAACGAGGTTCGCCTTACTCGCGAACGAAAAGGTTGCGTTCCTCCTCTAGGACGTAACACTATTTAAAAAAATTTAAGTTGACCTTGACCTGATCTTGGCAACGTCATTCAAGGTTAAATTGATAAGATCAATAGATAGACCTCTTGAAACCCTGCAATATTTATATTTAATATTTTTTTCTAATACGTAACTCCTCTGAAATATTCAGAGGTCCCGGGAGTTTGTATATACCCAGTATGTATATCACGTATTGTATATCTGTGTCCCACTGCGCATGCATGAACAGAGAGTGAGAAAATTACATGGCACCTCTTTCCTGTCCTTTTCTATTTGATTTCCAGTTTCACAGAAGGATACGCTCGGTCTATTGTTACTATGTCTATGAGTGAAACATAAGGAAAGAGGTAACCCTAGACTGTATTATTTAACGACGATAATAGTAGTTTTACTACTCGCATATTTCATAGCAGCAGGAGAGAGAGAGAGAGAGGGAGAGAGAGGGGTGGAGAGGCGGTGGCAGGAGGCGAGGAGGAAGGGGAGAGAAAGGAGAGGGGAAAGTGGAGAAAGGTCGAAAAGTTGAAGGCGAACGGATGAGAACGCGGTCAATATACAGGGTGTATAAAAAGTCCCGGGATCCCTGAACATTTCAGAGGGGTAACAGTTTAGAAAAAAATGTCAAATGTGAATGTTGCAGGGCAGAACAGGAGACAATCTACACATTTCGGGCGAAATTCAAGAAGTGACACCCACCGTCCTCCTTCCACCGCTTCGCGCTCAGCGACCAATGGCGACGATCGCGATGCATTCAGGTCCGTCGCTGTATAAGAAATCAGCTGAAGCGAACCCTCACGTTATATTATCATTAAAATTTTTTCCTCGTTTAATAATCACTTTAAAATATATATGTTTATGTGTTTTACATATATAGAGTCTGTAAAGTAAGAGCGTGTACGGCATAAATGGCAGTTGGCTTCAAATATCGTTCTAGTTTTTTTTAGCCGTATTGTGAGGCATATCTCAAGCACAAGCTTCGAGAAAAAAAAGTGTGCACTTTGAAGCAGCTGACACGACAAATTTGTCTCATTTGGAGGTCTTTACCGAACGAATACGCAGTCAACTTAGTGGAAAGTATGCCTCGGAGATGCCAGGTAATTATCAATGCCGATGGTGACTGGACTCATTATTAATGGTATAATATTTTTCTTCTTATGGAGTACAACACATCCATGTACTTAAAAATCATTAAAAATAAATTTTTCTACACATTAACCCGTACACGCTCTTACTTTACAGACTGTATATATAAATAACGCATAAACATATATATTTTAAAGTGATTATTAAACAAGGAAAAATTTTAATGATAATATGACGCGAGAGTGCGCTTCAGCTGATTTCTTATACAGCGACGGATCTGAACGTATCGCGATCGTCGCCTCGGCCGCTGAGCGCGGAGCAGTGGCAGGGGAACGGTGGGAGTCACCTCTTGAATTTCGCCCGAAATGTGCAGATCGTCTCCAGCTCTGTTGTAGCTCTGTTCAAGAGATCTATCTAATGGTCTTATCAGTTTAACCTTGAGTGACGTTGCCAAGGTCAGGTCAAAGTCAACTTAATTTTTAAAAATAGAAACTGCCATATTTTATTACATTATCCTTTTCTACCAATTAATTTTAACAACTTTTATCTGAAACATTTTTTTATTTGTCTAATATTTTCTGAAATATTTAAGGAAAACTCGGTAACTTTCTCAATATTTAATTTACGATATTTCGCTAACAATTTGTCAGAAAAGAAAATACTAGATTTTTTTATTCTATTTGGTCTCAAGAATATTATTACAATATACAATACAAGAATATTGTTACAATAGCGCCTTTTGTTAATTTGATGATTTTGAAATTTCCAAAGATCAATAAGTTAACAAAAGGTATGACATTATTGTAACAATATATTTTTGAGACGAAATAAGATAAAAAAGTCTAGTACTATTTTTTCTTTCGACAAATAATTAGCGAGATATTGTAAGTTAAATATTGAAAAAGTTACTGAGTTTTTCTTAAACATCTCAAAAAATATTAGGCAAATGAAAAATGTTTCAGACAAAAGTTATTAAAACTAATTGGTAGAAAAAGATGATGTAATAAAGAAATGGGGGTTTCCCCATTTAAAAAAGTTAAGTCGACCTTGACCTGATCTTAGCAACGCCACTCAAAGTCAAACTGATAAGAATAATAGATAGACTAATAGATAGACCTCTTGAAATCTTACAACATTCGTATTTAACATTTTTTTCTAAAACGTAACCACTCTAAGATATTCAGGAGGTCCCGGGACTTTTTATACACCCTATATATCGCTCTACAAAGTATAATTGAAAACGCTGTATGATAGACATCGTATAGCGTGAAACATGTAATAAGTAAAATTGCATGACTTTCTATACAGCGATGTCTCACGTGGGTTGTAGGAACGCGGCAGCAACACGCGAGATCGTTTATCAGCTGTTAGTTGCTCGCTAGCTCGTAAGGTTCATTAATGATTACACGCAGGAGCATCGCACATTTTACACAAATTTAGCCCTTATAGACATCACAAATATATATAGCTCTACATTTTTCCGCGTCTTATTCGCAATTTGACGAGATTAAAAGATTTTCTTAGTGCAGTGAAGTTTCTATATGTTGGTTTGCTTCCTAGCTTATTTCGACGACGAATCATCCAAGGTCTTTTGTGCGGTTTACGATCCAATCGAGGAAACTGTGACGAATTGCGTATAAAATTCCACGACCGGCGAACGTAAGTTCTCTCTTACATATTACGCTTTACGATATCAAAGCTAGATTTGTGTGTTCAATACAGTGTTTACTATTTGAATATCTCGGTTATTGACTGAATACTCGAATTCTTCAGTATTATTACTCAGATATTTAAGTATTAAAATATTTCTCAAATTATTCGAATATTCAAGTATTACCCTAGTAATAGAAGATTTTGAATACTATAAAGTATTTGATCAACAAGTATTTGATCATCAAAATTTTATTATCAAAATATTATTATAATATTATTAATATATTAATATCGGTTACTCGTATGATACTCGGATAGTATTAATATTATATTAATATCAACCGAGTAACCAAATTTTTAACCGAATAGTTTTAACCGAATTTATTCAGATCTGAGTGTCTCAAATGTTCAAATATTATTCATATATCTTATAGAAATACCTAGTTTATATTGACGACGTGAGTCTTTATTATATACTAAACAGAAATATATATTACTCATAATACAAATAGCTTAAAAATAAAAACGAATATAACTCGTTGTCAGCGAAAGGAGATCGAACATATTGTTGAATATTCGTTTATTCCGTTGTGCGAATTATTTGATACTTGATCTTATAGCAGATGTAATTGCAAATGAAACCACGAAACAAGGGATTAATTCCCGACTAACATTTTAATGCTTATCAGTGTTCGCTATAATTCACGTCAATTTATTTGTTTAGATTCGTTTGGGACGACATAAGATGGTATGGCACGTGAGATGCTTGAAAGACGCGGTGATGCCTATCATATGGCTCAATTGTATATTTTGCATGGGAGTGTTCGAGATACCCTTGCATCGACCACGATTTTCTTTAAGTATTATCTACGCTGTCACGATGGTGATCGGGTACTTCGTTTTGCTGTACAATGGAATTGTCATTTTTGAGGAAACGTTCAATTGTAATCTGGCTCTATTTTATTGCGTTGTGGTCGTCAATATTTTAGTTGCTACTCTATCCATAATCTTATTCTGGTGCAAATCACAGGTATGTCTTTCTGCATGTCTTATTGGACGTAATATTATTTCATGTCAAATTATAAATATCATAATCAATATTAAAATCACAAATAAAAAGGCAATCAGAAAAAACCCAACACTTCCGAAAAATATCTTTTACTAACTCTTAAGAAATACATTTTCCTATTGAATATTGATTACATAGTAAAATTTATCAAGGTAAAAGTGTGTTTCAATTCTTCTGCCAGTGATTAAATTGTTTTATAAAATCACCATTTTATTAATTGATATAATATAACATAAATTTAACCGATATGAATTAAATCAATAATCGGACTTAATGTTTTAAGAATTTCAGTATGTTACTTAAGAGACTCAGTCTTGTAGACGACACCTTGGAAGCATTGGGTGTAAAAAAAAATTATCGGAAAATCTTTTGCGACGTACTTTGGTGCATGGCCATTTGGGTAGCGTGCATGATGTTACTGAACATCATGCATCTAGTATGGATATGGCGTGACAATGGATATTTAAGCAATCTTTACACAGCCTTGTGCTTCGGTTTCCCGATTATGATTAATTCCGTGGTGGATGTCACTTTTAGTTCGCTGATTAGGCAAGTAACATATCCTTCCAGGAGAGAGACAAGGGGAAGAGATGGAGGATAGGGAAGGGGGGAAAGAGAGAGGAGGGAGAGAGAGAGAGAATTAATTGACTAACATATATCGCGAAAAACCCAAAATAATGTATTTATAAGGCATCCCACGAGAAATTGCTGAAACTAAACTAATTAGTTCTCCCTTCCTTTAAAACGGGTTTTAAGGTTAATAGTTGTCCGTCTGAAGGTCTGTAGTTTTTTTCTGGTTGTCATAGAAACAATGATAGAAGTTTATGCGTGTCATCATGAGCTATCTCATGACGGAAGAAAAGGTCTATTTTATCGAGTGCTCTTCCTTTTTCCAGGAAAAATATATAGTAGTTCTTATAAAAGGTTCCGTATGAACACATAACGGAACACATAAAATTATGAGAGAAAACACACTGAAGAGGTTAGAATTCATTAATTATTTAAATTTAGGCGTCACATCACTCTATTTTTTGGCAATAAATCTGCATTAATATAATTTTTTGTGCTGTTGTTAACAGAATTACGTTAACAGAATTATCCATAATTTTATACCATATGAAACTATCCAAGATCGTAGACACAATCTCTCATGTCTTTCTATGTCTGTAGTTGCAGAAGAAGATATTGAAAAAATTAAGAATTATTTTGAACAAAATCCAAATACTTCCATTCGGAAAGTTGTCTTTCAAATACGAGGATAGTTTGATAAGTCAGTGACTTTTTTAATAAAAGATATTTTTTTCGGCAAATAAGCGTTTTATTTCTCAACGTATTAGTCTCCTTTTAGCTCGATACATTTAGTCCACCGTTTTTCCAATTTTTTTATTCCTTCCAAATAATAGGTTTTCTCAAGGCCCTCAAAATAGGCGTTTGTTTCAGTGATGACCTCTTCATTCGACCCAAATCTCTTACCGCCCAGCCATTTCTTCAGGTTTGGAAACAGGAAATAGTCGCAGGGGGCTAAATCTGGTGAATATGCTGCATGGAGTAGCAGTTCGTAGCCCAATTTATGGATTTTTGCCATGGTGACTACACACGTGTGCACCCGTGCATTGTCCTGATGGAACAGCACTTTTTTCTTCGCCAAATGCGGTCGTTTTTGTTTCAAATCAATATCGAATCTGTCTAAAAGCTCTGAATAATATTCGCCGGTGATCGTTTTACCCTTTTCAAGGTAATCGATGTGAATGATACCGCGTGCATCCCAAAAAACTGTGGCCATGACCTTATTGGCCGACAGACCCACCTTGGCCTTCTTTGGTGCACGTTCACCCGAAGAAACCCACTGTCTTGATTGTTCCTTGGTCTCTGGTGTGGTGTGATGGATCCATGTTTCGTCTATGGTAACGAAACGGCGCAAAAACTCGTTCGGATTGCGGCTGAACATCGCCAAACACTCCTTTGAAATGGTCACACGGTTGCGCTTATGATCGAGTGTGAGCAATCGCGGCACCCATCGCGCGGATAGCTTTTTCATGTCCAAATATTCATGTAAAATGTGATGTACCCGCTCAGTTGAGATGCCTACAGCCTCAGCCACTTCACGCACTTTCATTCTCCGATCGTCCAATATCATTTCATGGATTTTATCGATGATTTCTGGCGTGACGACCTCTTTTGGGCGACCTGAACGTTCGGCGTCACTTGTGCTGGTACGACCACAACGGAACTCAGTAAACCACTTCTTAACCATTGAAATTGATGGTGCAGAGTCCCCATAGTATTTATCAAGCTTTGTCTTGGTTTCGGTGATGGTTTCTTTACGCAAAAAATAATGCTTAATCAGCACACGAAATTCACTTTTTTCCATTTTCGTTAAAATTCACGAGGTTGTCTGCTTTCAATGGCTGTCAAACACTAACTAAATGGCGCAGCTTGCCCAAACTTGTACAAACAGTAGTCTATTAATAGATGGCAGTTGACGGGAGCAGTGCTGCATTTAAAGTTACTGCGCGGAAAATTCAAAAAGTCACTGACTTATCAAACTGCCCTCGTATTAAGTATCAAAAACAATGATATATAGGATTTTAAAACATTTCCTGAACACGCATCCGTAAAAATAACATCTCATCAATTGCTAACTGAATGCACTATAACGAAACGTGGAATTTTACAAGACAATAAATAGAATGCTTGAAAATGGAAATCTTAATGAAAAATTGATAATTTACATAGACGAAGTTAAATCTGGCTAAATGACATTAAAGATAATTGTTATGTCGGAAATCTAAATGTGCCAGATTTATTAATAGTTATTAAAAAGGTTGTCGGATATTAAAGACGACATGATGGAATAAATTTTTACGAGTTTTCGTGAAAAAAATTGAATTTTGTATAAATGTAGATGGTGCGCACTTCGAAAATGTTTATCACTAGCTTTGATCATTATTATATTTTTTATCATTCTTCACAAAAAAAATAAATTGATACAGTGATATTTTTAAAATATTACTTATCCCCATTAAAAACTGCAGACTTTCTTTTTTTCAACATAATTACTGCTTTTACAATAACTGAATACGTTCGAAAAGGACAGCTGATTAGTTTTAGCAACTTCATATGGGATACCCTGTACAATTCTACCTATAAATGATATGAAATGAAATTCCAACTTTATTTTTAAAATATGACGCGAAATTTGCAATTGTACAGATGTATCAAATCGAAGTTCCGATATACGAACATTTTGATTAACAACATAGTGCTTTCCACGAACAACGAGAATGTCTTGAAAATCCATAACAAGCCCAAGGACACGCCCGTGGCAATAGTCACGTCGAACTACAAAAACAACAAGGATATGATAAAACATCTCTTGCAGACGCTCAAGTAAGATCGATATTACTAAAAATAGAGAGAGAGAGAGAGAGGAGAGAGAGAGAGAGAGAGAGAGAGAGAGAGAGAGAGAGAGAGAGAGAGAGAGAGAGAGAGGAGAGAGAGGAGAGAGAGGAGAGAGAGGAGAGAGAGGAGAGAGAGGAGAGAGAGGAGAGAGAGGAGAGAGAGGAGAGAGAGAGGGAAAGAGAGAGAGAGAGAGAGAGAGAGAGAGAGAGAGATCTTTTATGTTGTAAAACAATTATGCATCAGCGTTATAACGTAATTTCTATACATACACGTATCCTTATTCGACGAATTATCGTATAATTGTGATCTTTAATTACACAGGTCTACAGAAAATGGGATCATGATTGTTGTTGGGCAGCTGGGGGTCGTTTCCCAAGTAATTTTCTGCGTAGAATCCGAATCCGAGGTCAGAAATGGCCCATCACGTCAGAATTTTGAGGTATTTGAGGTTATATACTCGAAAAAATAGCTTTTTAGGTTACTTTTGAGGTTATGTATAGGACGCACAAAATTTTTTAGCTCTTTTCTTCTAATTGCATCATTTAATACTACTTTTTCCCTTCAAAATGAGCTGTCGAATGGTCATCTACGATTTTTCCTTGCGAAGTTACGGCCATTTTAAGATAACATGATGAATTCCAAACGCTACGCCGTTATAACCCAACAACCTCATGAGCATTCACATTAAACCTGTAAACTTTGAACTATAAACCCGAAAACCTGGACTGAAAACTATATATGGGTTTTTGGGGTTGCTGATTACGAATCTGATCTCAGATCGACCCCAAACCTATTATAATATCCTATTATAATAGATTAACCTATTATAATAGGTATAACCTGTTATAATAGGTTTGGGGTCGATCTGAGATCAGATTCGTAATCAGCAACCCCAAAATCCCATATATACAGTTTTCAGTCCAGGTTTTCGGGTTTATAGTTCAAAGTTTACAGGTTTAATGTGAATGCTCATGAGGTTCTTGGCTCATGGGTTATAACGGCGCAGGGTTTGGAATTCATCATGTTATCTTAAAATGGCCGTAACTTTGCACGGACAAATTGTAGATGACCATTCGACAGCTCATTTTGAAGGGAAAGAGTAGTACTAAATGATGCAATTAGAAGAAAAGAGCTAACAAATTTTGTGCGTCCTATACATAACCTCAAAAGTAGCCCAAAAAGCCATTTTTCGAGTATATAACCTCAAATATCTCAAAATCCTGACGTGATGGGCCAATTCTGACCTCGGATTCGGATTCTACGCAGAAAATTACTTGGGAAACGACCCCCAGCTGCCCAACAACAAAACCTTGTAGACCTGTGTTATTAATTATGTTTTATTTGATTATTATCCTAATTAATCCTTTTGTGCCTGATGGGACATATATAGTATATCGTTCCAGTCCTTCAAAAATTCATATCTTTCATAAAAACCTTCATAAAAATAAAGATAACGATTCCTTACTGGGCTCATTTTAAAGATAAAGGATAGAACTTTTCACAAAAGAAATTAACATCTTATAAAATTTACCGCTTTATCTGCATACTTTGTCAAATAAAATCTTAAAATAGGAAAGTGAAAAATATATATATTTTTCATAAAAATTAAAATAGCAAGTTCTCTTTGAGATTATTTTGAATGTCAACGTAAGGATTATATGAAATAAAGTCGTTACTTTATTTCAAAATAACTAATTCAATGTAGCGGAACGAAATGCTAAATTTTGTTATATTTACATATAAGTTGACACACACACATACACACACACACATATATGTGTATACTTTAATAATTTTTGAATAATTAACCATAATTTGTTAGCTCAAAAATTTATTATAAATGAATACTGTACATAATTATTATACAGTGCCTACCAAAAGTTCCGGGCCACCTAAATAATTTTTGAATAGTTTGAAATATAGGATTGAAATTTGTAGGGATACAATGAGATCACAAAGTCTATTATTTAACCACAAAAACACCCATCTCCACACCTCCGGGGAACGGAGGGATGGGGGAGCCAAAAAATCTTAAATGGCATGTTGGGTTAAGTGAGGGCTCGTTCGAAAGGGCTTTTCGAGACGAAAACAATACGAGGTCGCCGAGTTCTCTACGATTTTTTTTCGTAGAGTTATGATCATTTGAACATTTTTATTGAGATTTTGCGATAACGAGGGCCTACGGCGACAACAGAAGAAAGATAAGGCTTCACGCAGGCACGCGCGTTCCTTCAAATTTCAATCCTACATTTCAAACTATTCAAAAATTATTTAGGTGGCTCGGAACTTTTGGTAGGCACTGTATATAAGATGTTCTATAACTTAATACGAGAAATTCGTGGAGACATAGTAGATTAAAATAAATATAAAACTCCCGTACCGTTTTGGGATATTCGTAATAGTTATCGAGTTATTAATTACAGAAAAATGTAAACGCATGGTGGGATGGATGATTTAAAAGTATTGCAACCGTTCTGCCATAGCGTAGTTCAATCGATCTAGCAACTGTTGGCAGAGTTCGGCGAGATGTAGAAGCTGCGAGACAAAACATGAATAGCGGCATGTTGTTCTTTTCGTCACGCACCAGCAACAATTGTTGGATCGACTAGACCGCGCTGTGGTCAGAGCGGCAGCAACGCTTTTAACCCATCTCGGCGCATGCTCACCCATCAGATTTCTGTCATTAATAACTCGATAATTATTACGAATATCCCAAAACGATGGGACTTTTATATTTGTCTTAACTCGCTTTATATATCCAGGAATCCCTCGTATTAAATTATGGGATTGTATATACAGGGTACCTCTTTCAGACCACCTGAATAATATCTCGTGGAGATGGAGAGCGGATTAAAGTGAACACATAAATCTCATACCGTTTTGCGAAATTCGCAATAACATAGGCCTGCGAGATTTTCCCCATGGAGATTTGGTGTTTTACTACGTATTTTTTTGCGTTGAATCTGTATCTGGCTTTATAATTTGTCTAGCGCGTTAGAATTTTAAGATATTTTAACTTAAAAGCGCAAAAAAGGCCGTTTTTTGACATATGCGGATGCAAATAACTTTGAAACGCAATGGTACTCGTTAATTTGATCAACAGATTTGGATTCCTCATAACAAAATCTATGAAAATGCATATACATGGTTTCCGAAATGGTTAAATATTTACAACTCTAGGACACTTTATATTAACAAATTCCATTTTCTTTGGTACCTAAGCACCGAACACTTCATCAGATCGATTTTTTCAGAACTTTCTATCAAAAGGTTTTTCGGGTCACTGATTACGAATTTAAAGTCAGAATTTGGATTTTCGAAATGGCAAATCAAATATGGCAGCCCGAAATTTAAAAAATCGTTATAATTTTGCTAACAATCACTATCAAGGGATTTTTTGGGTCGCTGATTACGACTTTGAAGTCAAAATTCGGAAATTCAAAGTGGCGGATCTAATATGGCGGATAGGATGATGAGATAGAGCATAATTCAGCCAAATAACGCAAAATAGGCCAATGAGCCAGCTAACTAGAACAATATTCACTGAACTAACTTTACATAGAGATCTTCTGTTTCACAAATTACAATCTACACTTCTGGAATGAACTAGTCACTTCGTTCCACAAACAAATATTAGGTGTACAACTTTATTTCCGCCGTTTTTTTTCCGAAATTCGAGGCTTTATTGTAAAACTGGTTATACATTTATGATTCAAAGTATTGTCCATCGCTGGCCACTATTTTCTCCCATTTTTCGAGCAGCGTACGAAGTTCGCGTTGAAAAAACTGGTCATTTTTTGAAGCGATTCACGAATTGATCCAATTTCTTACTTCTTCATAAGACCGGAAGTGCTGGTCAATCAGGCCGTGTGCCATTGATCGAAACAAGTGATAGAGGGAGCAATGTCTGGAGAATACGGCGGGTGGGGTTGGACTTCCCATTTCAACGTTTCCAAGTATGTCTTGACCATTTTCGCAACATGGGGTCGAGGATTGTCATGCTGCAAAATCACTTTATCGTGTCTCTCGTTATATTGCGGCCGTTTGTCTTTCAATGCTAGGCTCAAACGCATTAATTGCGTTCGATAACGATCGCCTGTGATTGTTTGAGTCGGTTTTAACAGCTCATAATACGCTACGCCGAGCTGGTCCCACCAAATACAGACCTTGAAGCCGTGAATATTCGGTTTGGCCGTCGACGTGGAAGCATGGCCGGAATATGCCTATGATTTTCTGCGCTTGGGGTTATCGTAATGAACCCATTTTTCATCCCCCAGTCACAATGCGATACAGAAATCCCTTCCGTCTTTGCCTTTCAAGCAACTGTTCACAAGCAAACAAACGCCGTTCAACATCTCTCGGTTTCAACTCGTACGGCACCTAATTTCCTTGCTTTTGAATCATTCCCATGTCTGAGGCGTTTTGAAATTGCCTGTTGAGTCACTCCCAATGATCGTGCCAATTCTTCTTGACTTTGACACGAGTCTTCATTAAGTAATGCCTCCAATTCTGCATCTTCGAAAACCTTCTCTCTTCCACCGCTATGCCGGTCTTCGACGTGAAAATCACTGTTCTTGAAGCATTGAAATTACTCACGACACGTTCTTTTACTAATAGCAGCCTCACCATAAGTATTTAAGAGCATTCGATGAGCCTCAGCCGCAGATTTCTTCATATTGAAGCAGAAAATTAAAACCTCCCGCAAATGACGAGAATTTGGCTCGTAAACTGACATTTTCAATCGAGAATAACTTTATGATGCAGACACAAATCGACTAACGTTTCCATGGGGTTATGTTGATAGATGCCCAAGTTTATTGCATGACGTCTATGATCTATTTATTTCGACCACTACTTACCGCTAAACCCATCTATTGGAAAATGGCGGAAGCAAATTTGTACACCTAACAGTTTAAATGAGGACGTACTACAGTGTCCTTAGTTTGACCTTGAAATGTGTATGTAAAGTCAGTTGAAAGGCAACTTAACTTTTTTAAATAGAAAGCCCAATATTTTT